GCATTATTATACCCCATTAGAGTGAGTGCATTTAATACACATTAGTTGCACATATCAAACGGCAATTAAGCCTCTGTAGGCAAGAGCGATAACAATCTTTGTGGTAAAGCGCTGACCGTTCATTGAGTAGCTTACTACATATATGATTGACAGACAGCCAGACTGACGGACGGACTGACTGACCGACTGACTGACTTAGTGAGTTAGTGAGTGAATGAGCAGCTCTGCCTGTACAAGATTTATGTATAAGTTGACATTTGAAATGTCAAAATGCAAGTTGGCCAACGGCAGCTGTTGGTAGTAAATGCAGGCGTAATGCGTTAACAGCAACAGTTGTTGCCTTTTTTATTTTTTTGGCGTGTTGTTATTGTGTCGTTAACCGCCCACCGTTGACCCAAATAAAAAAAGAAAGAAAGAGAGCGAGCAGTAGAGATGCAAAGAGCTGACTATCGACCACCCGGCTGTGCTTTTGCTTTGCTTGCTTTAATAGCCTCACGTAGCCTAGCGCTCGAAATTTCGTAGTTAATTAACCCGTTTGCATACATTTTGTCTCGGCCAGGTCGGCCAGCGACTGGTCCTGCCAGCCTCGACGGCCAACCAGCCAACCAACCAACCAACCAACCAGTCCCCAGTTGCCATTTCCCAATTCCAATCCCCACTCCCACTCCCACCAGCGCGACCATAGGAATTATTTATGCTTTCTTTGATCGAATTCGGCGCTGGAGCGTCATAATAGTCACAGTTCTCGCGACTCAAGCGAGTCTCCTCGATTGTTTTCGTGCGCCCCATAAATTAATCGAATGTTAACTCGGTTCAGGAAATTGCATTTGACTTGAGTGCAGCTCGCATTGACTTGAAGATACCCTGTAGTTACGTTTATTCTTATACAAAGTTCTCTAAATATCTAGCAACATCTTATATTTCTTCAGTATACATATTTACATAAAAATCTTATATAAATATATATTTACTATGTATACTCTATATAACCTACATTTTATTGGCTCTTCTGCATATCTCTTTCCCAGTCTGCATACCCAACATTATATTTACAGGGTATACCACTAATTATAGCGTTTTGTTTGTTATAATAAATGGTTGCCGGTGTTGTGTTTGCGGCGCCCACAAAGTCAATTCAGCTGTTGAAGTGAATACATTAACCACAGCGAACATAATTAAATTGAGTAGTCGAAGGTGGAGTCATTGTCCAGTTGAGAATATTAAAATATAGCAGCAAAAAAAGGAACAATTTATCGAAGAATTTTATACCTTAACAAATAGAATCATCACATGAAGCAGAAATTAATTGAGCAGTGACATATGGAGTCATTCTGATGAGCATGATAGCTTATAAATAGCCTTTAACAACAATCGAAGAGTGCAGAAATGAATAACAAATGAAATCCCCAAAGATGCGCTCACTATAATTGAGTAGGAGCCATATAAAAGCTGAAATCATTGGCATACAAAAAATTGATGAAAAAAGAAAATGAATATAAAATGGGCAATGAGGAGTTGAATAAAAGTTTTATATGATGCATATGAATAATAATATATATGTATATATAAAAGAGCAAAAGCATGAGAACAGTGAGAACAGAAAATTAACCCATATACCTCAAGCGTTTGCTCTTAAGAATTCACACCGTGTCCAGATTTCTCTCTTTGAAAACTAAATCTCCACACAATAAGTAGCGAATCTCTCTATCATATATTAAAGAATTTACTTATTTCATTGGATTGTGATTCCCCCGTCCCCATCCACTCCATCAGTAAATTTTCATTATGTTTGCATTCAAGCATGCATTGGTGTCGTATCGCGAGCAGATTTATATGGCACACGCTAATCCGTATGTCTCCATTATGGAGGCACGCGAAAATCGTGAAAATAATGGAGTTTATGTGGCCATATCCATAGAGGCTTAAAGGCAGACATCGTTAAGACGTCTCGACAACTGAATTATGCTTGAGCATTATATTTGCTCGATTAGTAGTTGTATATTTCTTTCTTTTTTTTTTCTCTGTGTAGTAAACAAATTCGAGTCTGGCATTTTGGAGGATTGGAGTCACGAGTGTGTTGAACTTGCTCACAAAACAAGTGGCATACCACACTCTGTCCGTGTCATAAAAAACCGAAAATTGTTCAAGTCATATGCAAATTTGTAATGTGAGCGTTTATTTTTGAGCTAACATCAACTTTGGTATTAAACAACAAGTTTTGCAGTTAACTGCATTTTGAAAGCCATTGATAATGGGCAATTTGAAGCGCTTTGACCTTTCGCAGTGCTTGTCAAACTGCGCCGAATGATCGATTGCAGCGGCGCTAATGAATGGCACATTAATTTGCATTCGAATGCAGCTAAACATTCGATTTTTTTTTCGCCAGTTTGTCATTGAATAATGAGACATGCAGCATGTAGCAAAAAAATGTTAAATGTTGTTGATTATTTTTTCTCTTTTTTGCTTGGTCAGGAAACATAAATTACAAACGCGACAAAATAGATTGGTTTAATGCTGCAGCAGCAGCAGCAGCAGCACCTCTCGAAATTTGAGAAAAACATTTTGTAAATGTCACATTCACATGCTGAAAACCATGTGCCAAATATCTGGCGCGCCCCCAATCAAAAAAAAAATATTATTAATATTTATGAATTATCATATTTTTGGTTTTTCTCTCTTCTTTTCCTAGCGTGTCTGTGTGTTGGCGGCATTTTCAAATTTTCCTGTTGACAGTTTGTGTTTCACATTTTTATGCGTGCAAATTTTATGCCCATTTATTACAGCTGAATAATTGGCAACAACAAAATTATTTTGCAAGTGTTTTCGGTAATTTTTTATTTTGATTCGTATTTTTTTTATTATTGCTTACTTTAAAAGCTCTTAAAGCTAGAATCGTTAAGATCGTTTAGATTTATGCGGATAGGGCGGCGCGTTTTTTTTTTTAAGTGTTAAGTGGCGCAGGCTTTTATCGACTGCCAGAAATCAACAAGTTACTGCAATGAAATATAGCGTGCAATGTTTTTTATACATGCGCTATAGAGTCAACAACAAAAGCTGCAATAAAACTATAATAGAAGAAAAAAAAAAAATAAATGTTTTTGCTGGTAAACAATTTTGATGGATTTGTGCCTAATGAAATCTTTGTCCACAATATTTTATTAAATTTGCTGAAAAAGATCTTATACTCTAGAGCATTACTAATTTGTGATTTAAAAATGAAAGATTGCATGAGCTGAGAATTTCAGGCAAATTTAAAATTGTAAATTATAAAATATATATTGCAAAATATATATATTCAAATCATTAAATAATTAAATTATTAATAAAATATTTCATTAGTTTATATAGCCGAGTCCCCACTTTATATTCTTAATATTTAATGTTCATTAAATATAAATAAAGTGATTAACTAATGCCGTTAGATTGAATATCCCAATGTTGAAATTTCATATTCAATTTATATCTTTACGTATATTTGAAATGATTATGAAATTTAATAATTTTAATTAATTATTTCTGTTCATATGAATTATTTAGTATATATAATATTCCAATATATCAATTTCTGCCTTATAGTCAATATTCTAATATTTAATATTTAATATTTAATATTTTCTCATTACCTGTCATTACAGATTGCCAATGCAGTCCAGTGGGCTCTCTGTCTACGGCTTGCGACAAGCGCACCGGGCAATGTTCCTGCCTGCTGAACGTGGCTGGGCGTCGCTGCGACAAGTGCAAGCCGGGCCACTGGAATCTGACGCAGGGCGTCGGCTGTCACGACTGCCAATGCGATCCGCATGGAGCACGCGGAAACGAATGCAATCCGTGGACGGGCCAATGCGATTGCAAAATAGGTGTTGGGGGCCGGCATTGCAATGAGTGCACCGAAGGCTTCTATGGCTTCAGCACGGATGGCTGCCAACGGTGTGCCGCGTGCGCAGCGGAGGGTCAGGTCTGTGATCCGATCAACGGCCGCTGCATATGCCCCAAATATACGCGAGGCTTGGGCTGTGGGCAGTGTGTGCCCGGCACCTGGGGCTGGCAGGCACGTCTCGGTTGTCGGGAGTGTGAATGCGATCACATCGGCTCCATTGGACAGCAGTGCGCCACCGTGGGCGGGCAATGCCAGTGCCGTGAGGGCTATGCGGGACGCACTTGCAATAGCTGTGCCGTTGGCTACTTTGGCTATCCGGAGTGCCGGCGCTGTGGCTGCGACGTAGAAGGTTCCTTTACGCGAGCGGACGGACTCATTGCCTGCGACTCGAACGGCCAGTGCCCATGCAAATCTCTCGTGGTGGGCCTCAAGTGCGACACCTGCATGCAGAGCACCTTTGGCCTGTCCGCACTCAATCCCGAGGGCTGCACCCGTTGCTTCTGCTTCGGGCGCGCCGCTGAGTGCGAGCAGAGTGAACTCTCCTGGGGTCACATTCGCATGCCGGAGGCGCGTAATCTGAGCGTGCAGCAATTGCGCCCACAACACGTGCCCAATGGCGAGTTCGAGTACATTGTCGTCGTCCAAATGGCGGGCAGCGTCTCGTATCGCGAGGATGCGGAAATACAGCGAATGAATGACTTGAGCCTCGTGCCCCGCTCCACGGGCAATGTGTCCATTGGCGCCTATACGCAGTTCTATCAGCCGCTCTACTTCCAGCTGCCGCCACAATTCTACGGCGATCGCACCACCAGCTATGGTGGCTATCTCTACTTCTCCCTGATCACCGACGGCGCTCAGATGCCGCTGGAGAGGAAGATATTGTCACAGTATCCGCTCGTGCAGCTGCACGCGCACACGAAGTTGGTTCTGGACTTTTATGAGCACGAGGAATTCGAGTACTCGCTGAATGTGACCCATCGCGTGCCGCTCCACGAATCCTATTGGAAATACCACCAGAACAATCAGGCGGTGGATCGCGGCACCTTAATGGCGGCACTGCAAAATGTGAAGCATATCTTTCTGCGCGCCTTTGCCTTTGCTGATTTTCAGCAAGTTGTGTAAGTTTCTCGCAGATTACAAGTTGAACTTTGCCTGTTTAATATACATATATATTCTTTTCACAGCTTGCACAGTGTTCACATGGATGCTGCAATCTATGTGCAGGGCTCCACTAATCTGCTGGCCAAGGGCGTGGAGCAGTGCAAGTGCCCCAAGCGTTTCGCTGGACTCTCCTGCCAGGACCCGGGACGCTCGTTTTACCGTTGGCGCAACACCAGCGACGTGGAAAGTGTCTTCATTGAAGATCTAATTGGACGCGCGGCTCCGTGCCATTGCAATGGACGCAGCAATGATTGCGATCGCGAAACCGGCGTTTGTTTGGTAAGAAATACGCGCGAGCAATTAAAATTAATCAAATTCTATTTAAAACTCGCACTAGCACTTATATTGAATTGAATTAAATTAAATTAAGTCCGATTAGAATAATTTTCGCGCTTTTTCACTTGTTCGCGTCGCCATTTGCTTTTTCACTGAGCTGCTGAGCGCGCTCTTTATTTTGCTGCGAACTGGTTCATTGGAACTGGCAAGTGATTTTGTGATCCTTCCAGAATCGGTATGCAGCTCACATTGCCAATAAGCACAATTGAGTAATTTTATGCAAATTGAATTTAGTATGAGAAATCAAATTGAATTTTAATATTTATGCATGTCAAATATTAAATATATTATAATTTGTTGCAAAATTTTATGAATATATGTATGTATTCATAATTTAAATATGAAAAAATGAAGTTTATTTATTATAATTATTATTTTGTGTTATTGTTATTCATATATTCATTTCATACTTATTTTTGCACAACTGTGTAACCCTGGCAAATTTCTCTTGCAGAATTGTCGCGATAATAGCGGCGGTGCGCATTGCCAGCACTGCGCCGATGGCTACTACGGAGATCCGAATTCACGGCACGGATGCCAGGCCTGCCCTTGCCCGGAGACGAATCGCAATTTCGCACGCGGCTGCAATGTGCGCGAGGGCGAAGTGAGCTGCGTCTGCAAGCCCGGCTACACGGGCCGCCTGTGCGAGCACTGTCAGCCGGGCTACTTTGGCAATCCGATGCAGTATCCGAACAGCAGCTGCCAGGCGTGCGACTGCCACGTGGATGGCCTACGGGCGGAGGGCTGTGATGCGCAGACGGGGCAGTGCCACTGCCGGGAGGGTGTCACAGGCTTAAAGTGCGATAAGTGCATGGCACAGCGCCACCATCTGCAAGACCAGGGCTGCAGGCGTGAGTATACGAAGTGAAATACCCTGTAGAAGCTATTTTCAATTGATGTGAACCCTTTGTCTTTTCAGTTTGCGACAACTGCACGCTGCTGCTGCTGGACTATGTGGAGCTGGTGGGGCACAAGCTGCGCCGCGGGCTGCACAACATGGACCTGACGGGCATTCCGGCGCCTTACCTCAAGTTGAGTGAGTACGAGCGCGCCTATAAGGAGTGGCGTGCCCGCCAACAGGACGTTAGCCAGGCCCGGCAGCTGCTGTTGGGCTATGACGTGGGCGCCCTGCTCAAGATGGATGCGCATGCGGAGAATAATAAGTTCCAGTCCCGGAAAGCTCTGGCCACCATTGGCAAGCGACAGCATGCGCTGCAGTCGATGCAGGAGTCGGCTCTGGTCCTTCAGCAGGACGTGCGCAAAATGCGTGGCGAGCAAATGCAGACCTTGCAGGATTTGCGCAACTATGGCACGGGCGCCCATCATCTCAGTCTGCCCACGGCCCTGAAGCAGGCCCGATTCTATCTGGAAGCCATTCAGCAGCATCATCACATGGTCCAAGACATTCGCAGCTCCAGCGACTGCGCCTGGGAGCTCTTCTATGCCACCGGCAACGCCTCCGATGCGGCCTACGATCAGCGAGCGCGCCTCGAGATGCTCTGGCGCGATCTGAATCAAACCAATTATCGTGTGGCCGATATGCGGCTGCACCTCGATCGCACCCAGGACGTGGAGAGCGAGGCGGAGGATGTGCTCGAGCATGTGCGCAATCTCAGCGGCCATGTGGCCGAGCAGTACCAGGAGCTGAGCGCACTGGACCAACACATACAGCAACAGTTGAATCCACGTCAAACTGAGCTCGGCCATAAAAATCTCCGAACGAGCATTGAGCATCAATTGCAACTGAACGCGCAGCGACGTCAACTGGCTGCGGCCGCAGCGCAGCTGAATGCGACGCTTCTCGTGGAGCTGGAGCTGCAGCGCGAGGTGCGCAAGCATTGGCTACCCAAGGCAGAGAAGCATGCAGCACGTCTGCTCGAACGCTCCAACGAATATGCCAAGCAATTCCAGCCGACGCGCAATGCGGCACGCATTGCCATGCTGGCCAGGTGAGTAGTGATTCCATAGCCCAACGAGAGCACTCCTTACTCACCCAATCTGCCTCTCTCTCTCTCTCTCTCTCTCTCTCTCTCTCTCTCTCTCAGCTCCGCCCACAGCAACATTTCGCTGGCCATTGCAGCCGCTCAGCAGGCATCGCTGCTGGCCAAGGAGCGCGTGTTCGAGGCCCAAAGCACACTTTATCCCAGCGACGGCAGCTCGATGATCGAACGTGCTAAGCACTCGCTGCAGCGCTCCAAGCAGCTGCAGCGTGAGGCCTTGCAGCAAATGCAAAAATCCACCGTTCTGAAGGGCAAGCTGCAGCAGCAGCAACAGCAGGTGGAGGGCATCAAGCGCACCATCTTTGAGACGGGACAGCGCAGCAATAACATCACCAGCCAGCTGCAGTTGCTCAGGAATGGCTCGGCGCGACGCGATGCGCAGCAGAGCATGAAACTGGCGCAGCAGACCAGCGACGAGATGCGCCAGGAGCTGAGGAGGGCGAAGGAGCTGCAGCAGTCCATACAGCATATGCGCAAGTCCTTTGCCATGCTCGAGCCAGACTGGGAGATCAAGCTGGGCATGGCCGAGGAGAATATCTCGCTGACGAAAACGAACTTGCGGCTGGGCAACGTCTCGCTCAGCTACATCGAGCAGCAGGCGGCCAAGGAGCAGCAGATCTTCGAGCAGTGGAACAACAGCATGGCCAGCCAGCTGCAGCAGCTGAGGGATCAAATAGCCAAGGCTAGGCATGCAGCCGAGGCGGTAAGTGGACGATCTCATCAGCTCTACTATAACTCGATTCAAATGTGTTTTTCCTTGGGCCAGATCGATGTCTCGCTGGAGTCGCTGGGCCCCAAGTGCAGTCGCAGCTATCTGCCCGTCTCCTATGGCCTGAGCACCTCCAATTCGCTGCGCTTGAGCTTCAGCCTCTCCAATCACATGGGCAACTCGCCGCTGTTGCTCGTGCAGGGCAGCGAGGGTCGCCACATCACTTTGGAGCTGTACAGGAGGCATGTGCGGCTGATTTGGTATCTGGGCGGCAGCACGGCGACCATAACGCATCCGCTCGAGGTGCAGACGCGCGATCCCAAATACGACGATGCCTGGTATCACGTGGAAGCGAATCGCACACTGAACCTGGGCAGCCTGCTGGTGCGCCGCATGAACAACTTTGGCTCCTTGATGCCTGGCTCTCCGGTTACCGGCTCCACGGATGCGGAGCACACGCGTTTCTATCAGACTCACGACGAGCGCATCTTGCTGGGCGGCCCGGCGTCCAAGGACCAAACACCGGGTCTAAATGTAGTCGTGCACCAGGTGGAGGTGGACAATAAACCGCTGGGCCTATGGAACTTCATCAGCAGCGAGGGACGGTGTGGCGGTGCCATGATTGGCGCCAGGGAATCAACGGCCTCCTCGGTGGCACGGCACTTCAATGGCCTCGGCTATGCGCAGCTGAAGAAGACGCGACCGCGCCCCTATCGCAAGAATCTCTTTGCGCTGCAGATGACCTTCCGCACGCTGGACGAGAATGCGCTGCTCTTCCTGGCGGTTGATGACAAGAATGTGAGTCTATTGACTTTACTTCAACTACCTTCAATCCACTCACCTCTCACTCTCTCTCTCTCTCTTAGAACCGCTCCGTTTCGGTCACATTGAGTCGCGGTCGCATCATGTTCCGCATCGATTATGGCGACGAGTCCAAGCTGGAGATAAATACCACCAAAAAGTACAACACCGGCCAGTGGATCAAAATCGAGGCGGCGCGCGAGTTCTCCACACGACGCAGCACCGAGAATGGAATGCTGCGCGTGAACAATGATCGCCCCATCTCCGGCGCACCCACATTGCCCGTGAAGAGTCACATGCTGCCGGATCTGTCCAAGGCGGTGTATTATCTGGGAGGCGTGCCACCAGGTAGGGCATTGGCAATTGGCTGAGTCTATCATAGATAATGGGATTCATTGAGATATTATAATTGAGTCGGACTTATAGACATATCGTATACATAATTGGTTTTCGTATACGGTAGACTGTGGTTACAAAGACTCCGCTTATAGCGTCCGTTCGGTTATTACGACGAAAATTATAGTTCCCAGTAAACTTTGATGAGTAAAGTTAAAGTTTCCCAGAGGCGTCGTTATATCCGGATTCTACTGTATTTATAATTAGTTAGTTTATTACATAATATTAATATAAAAAGTGACTAACTATAATATATTCTACCCATTTCTTACCTCCAGGCTCATAATATATATAGATATATACTCACACACGTTTACTTTCATTTCCACAGGCTTTACTTCAGGCACTACTAAAGCACCCGGCGCTGATAATCCCTTCCTCGGCTGCATGATGGATGTGCAGGTGAATGGCGAGACCTATGATCCGCTCGAGAGCTCTACATACTTTGGCGTGGAGTCCTCCTGCAAGGACATGATTACAAAGTAAGCACACACATAGATATGCATAATGCCTGCTCACTTACCCAACTTTGCTTTGCCCCTCCACAGAGCTGGCTTCTCGGGCAATGGCTACTTGGAGCTGCCATCGCAGTCGCTGCGCAAGCGTGCCAATGTGGCTCTGGTGTTCCGCACGCTTCAGGCCGATTGTCTGCTGCTGCTGGCCGCCTATCCACCCGAAGTGCTTGGCGACTACGATGCCAAGGATATCAAGGGCAACTACTCGATGAGTCTGGTCGATGGCCAGCTGCAGGTGTGGCTCAATTCCGGCCGCAGCTTCATCAAGATGTCCTCCAATGCCAGCCAGCTGAACGATGGCGAGTTGCATGTGATCAATCTCAGTAAGACCGGACGCCGCCTGGAGTTGATGGTGGACGATGAACTGCAGGAGGTTCGCACCCTGACGGGCTCACCCTCAATCATCAGTCTACCCCAGGATGCGGGCGGGCTCTACATTGGCGGTGCACCGCCCCACGAGATCTACACACCCTTGGCGCCCACCTTTGTGAAGCTGGAGGGTGCCGTGCGGGATGTGGTGTTCAATAACCGTACGATCAATTTCAATGATGCCCTGACCTTTGTCAATGTGCAGATCGGACGCAACGGTCCAGTCATGGGCAGTCCCAAGGGCGCTCTCTACGATGTGCTGCTCAAGACGGAGCCAATGATTGGGAAGAGTTTCACCGCCTCACCGGAGGGCTGCAAGCGGGTAAGTTTGTAATATGAATTCTCTGGTATTTTGTGGGTAATGGAAATTGAGGGCGTGGGTTTACTGCATGTATATATCACGTATATATATATCATTTATATACAGAGATTTGTGGCTATCTAACTCTCAACATTCTGATCGACTTCAATGTTTCTTTTTGTTCTTATAGGATTTTAGTTGCTAAGCAATTATGTCACAAAAGCTGCTACGCAAAAAGCTTCAAGCGCTGCGCTGCAAGAAAAGCTCTTTTGTATACTAATTTCGCCTAAACAAAAAAAAACAAATAAATCAAATTCAGCTTACTAAACATAGCTACTCAATGTGGTCTACATGTGGATTAATCATACAAAATCATCAAAATATAACCTCAGATTTAACCAAACGATGTCATTCGCTAAAGCTTTTATGCTTTGTTGGCATACAAGCTAGCTTACAGAGTCAAAAGCTGTTTTGTGTGCTCGAAAAGCTCTTGTAAGCTGGCTTAACTAGATTTAAGCATTCAATGGAAGTTGGTTCACAATGAGCAAAAATTTGGTTGAAAGGCATATAAAAGTCTTTTTCAATTGCTAATAACTTTTAAGATTACAAAAGCTTTTTTAAGTTTATTAAAGCTCTTGCAAGCTTGCTCAGTTATGTATAAGGATATTATGCAAGTTGGATTAACATATACATACCTAGTCTCAGTTCAGAGCTTTCAAGCACTTGATTTTTTAAAGCACTCAATTGAATTTAAAATGTTGTTCAATCTATTTCTCAAAGCTTCCAAATACAAAGATGTTTATTCATTCTATTTCATACCTATTTAGTTTGGTTTTGATATCAACTCTTCAATACTATATATAACCATTCATTTCAGTTTAAAAGTTTCTTAAAGCTCTTGTTAGCCAGCTTTGTTAAATTTAAGAAGTATAATAAATGTTAAGTTTCACAAAAAGCTCTGGGTCGCATTTGGATGTTAAATTACACATGACAACAGCACACTTATTATGTAAATATTTCATATTTTCATAACATATCTTTTGTATATTATAAGCTCAAATATAGCCCATAAGGAAAAATCTATAAATACATTTTTATATATAGATATCACATATTTACATCACATTTTTCACTCATCAACGCTTTGTGTACGTTTTTGCTTTCATTGATGTATCATACGAATAACTTTTTGCCTTCTTCAACTTGTTATCACATTTTTAAATAAAAGCGAACGAACATTTTTAACAAAAGAAAAAAGAAACCAAAAATCATGCCAGTTATTTTATTATTTCTTAACCTCACGCTGTGAAAGCTCGCTCACAAAAGCTCAGAACTAACACAAAGTCGTCGCGGTGAGTTAAGTTCCCATTCGCTTCAAAGCAAAAGCTTCGATTGATCCTTTCCATTTGCTTACAGATCGGGAGCTACTCCTACGAGCCGAATGCCTTCAAGTTCGGCGACGAACTCTATAGCTACTCGCAGCTGAAGCTGCCCGAGCGTCACTTCTGGCAACGCAACTTCCAGCTGAGCTTCGAGTTCCGCTCGTTCTATCCGAATGGTATGCTCTACTTATCGCCGGGCAGCAAGGAGAAGCCCAAGCACTATGTCACCCTGCTGCTCAAGGATGGCCAGCTGGTGTTGATAGTGCGCGGACGGAGGCGCGAGGAGCTGCTGCTCACCGCCAAGCTGAACGACGGCGAATGGCATCGGGTTACGATCAGCTGCCGCGATCGCAAGGTTACGCTGAGCGTCGAGATTGGACGCACAGATCAAAAGACCTCGGCCCAGATGAAGGTGCCCAAGAAAATAGGCGCCTCACAGCTCATGCTGGTCGGCGGCCTGCCCCAGGCACCGGTCAAGGTGCCCTCGGAGCTCTATATGCGCCTCGAGCCCTTCAAGGGCTGTCTGCGGCGATTCAGCATCAACAATAGCACACAGGATCTGGCACGTCCGGGCAAGCACGCAAATGTCGGACAATGTTTCCCGAAAGTGGAGCGCGGCAGTTACTTCCCAGGCGATGCCTATGCCATATACAGTGAGTGGGCGGGCTCTATGTGTTGTTAAGGGAAATAATCCACTATCAAAGTAGATAAGATAGACATATCCTAAGTATACATATTTATGGAGTAAATTCGTTATGATAGTTATCATAGAGGATTATTTCCTCATGTAAATATCTAAGATTTGAGATTTGTAGATCCGTAGTCTAGCCGAGCTTTCAGATGCCATAGAAACATTCTGTCTTGTTTAAGTAGAGCTAGTTTCCCTCCCTTTCCTTTTCACTACCTCTACATACATCATTTCTAACGCTTATTGTCTTCCCTTACAGAGAGAAACTTTCATGTGGCCAAATATTTGGAACTGGAATTGGAATTTCGCACCTCTGAGCTATCCGGCATATTGCTAAGCGTATCCGAGCCCAACAACTTTCCTTCGCTCTCGCTGGAGCTAAGCAATGGCAATGTGAGTTTTACTAAACTTTACAAATTTTTCGCATATTTATCAAAGTACTTTCTCTCTCTCTCCCTCTTACAGATCGTTTTCTCATGTGATCTGGGCGATGGTGTGCCCTTCCGCGTGGAGTCTACGCTGCCGGACAAATATGCTTTGTGCGACAATAAATGGCACAACATATCCGCGCTCTATGACGGCGAGCAGATTGCGCTGAGGATCGATCAGCTGCCCGCCACGATCAGCATGTCGAGCCAACGCAATGCGGGCAAGGTGCAAACACGTTCGCCCCTCTACATAGGCGGACTGCCAGGTGAGCTTAGGCTAGGATACGTCTATATATAAGGACTTCTTTAACTTGTATACATATTTGTATTTCAGATATTGCACCGAGTGGCTGTTTGTTGTCCCGCGATAACTTCAAGGGCTGCATACGTAATGTCTCCATACGCAATGAGAGACGCGATTGGATCGATATGGATGATCTGCACAATGTGCTGCTCAGCGAGTGTCTTGTCTCCAGCGATGATTGAAATATATCGAAATATGTAGAGATCGCGGAACGTTTTCTGGTTCCTGTTGTTGATGCCACACCAAAACTTTTCCAAATGCATTGTGATCAAATAGGAGTTTTAGACTTAGACTTAGACAACGTCCAGTTCGTAGTATATCACTGCCATATAAGTAATATATACCTAGCTATACGTTTAGCCAGTGACTGCATTTTACATACTACATACATATATATTATTATATATTATATTATATATATTAGTAGGTCCCACACAAATATTTAATTTATTTAACTTTTAATTTATTTTTTTTATTTTAAAGAGGCTTTAAGTTTGCGCATCGATTTTATTTAATTTTTTTTTATCGTATACCTTGTGAATCTCCCATTTGTACATTACCTATTTATATTTAAAAACACGTTTCAATATCGCATAAATATTTCGATTAGTGTAGTTCATAATTTAAATACATATTCATTTGTACATAACACATTTTTAGCCTAAGAATC